GGTTGAAGTTTCCACTGCTCTGGAGGTAGTGCAATGTCCGAAATACCTTTAGGAGATTGCGCAATGTAGTGAGCTCTGTGTCTTCTGCTAAGTGGGTTAATCCTATTATGATCTGAAGGGTCATATCCCGTTCTTAATCCCATCACCCTGAAGCTGAAGGTCTTTTATTTTGTAGATAGGCTGGCCCAGTCTTTCTTAATGGGCACAGGATATCTGCTGGGGCTCTTAAGAAAGACTGAGTCTGTTTTCTGCCTCTAAAAAAGACATGTTTCTCCATTTCTCATTTAGGGAAATATAACATTCTGTCTTTTTAATATTCTTCAAAATATTTCATTCTTCCAGGAGGGTTGGTGTTGACTTTCTACATTTAGCAACTGTGGCAAGAAAGGTTGTAAAATAGGGCAAAAATCATTTAACAAATGTCTTGCTTAGCAACATAAACTTTGGGCTCAATTGGGGTTGCTAAGTCGAGGACTACCTGTATTCTGAAATGTTACTTATTTTTACTTTCATTCCAGTAGAAATAGACTTTTAATATATGACAAATTCCATTTGATTCTTCCGTTTTCAAAGGCACAATGTAATATTTTGGAACCTGCCCTGCAAAATCCCGGATTCCACTAGAGATTTTTGAGCAGAAAGACATTTATAACTGCTATGGTTTGAAAGACTCAGAGGGCACCCTAATGGGGTCCATCTGTGGAGTATTTTGCAAACTGAAAGAAAATAATGTTTCAGGGTATGGTGGTTAAAACCCGATCCCCTTACAACAACAAAAGCATGTTTTGTCAAGTAAGACTCAAGTACTCCCAAAAGGTAAAAAAGAAAGAAAAAGAAACGTTAAGTTTTCCAGATGTCTTGACATTTTAAATAAATAATTGAGCTGTTGAAGAACACTGGTCTGCTTTACAGATAACTCAGCATAAGCTTCTAGCCAAAATTTATCTTGTTTTTTCCAAGCTAATCTATCTTGGAGGGTCAGTTCTGCTACCCTTACATGATATCATACATAATGGAAATCGTTCAGATGGGAACAATTTGGAGGAGGAGAAAGGGGGAGGGGGAGATGATTAACTCTTCATCAGCCTGCACTTACTCCATCAAACTCTCACCTTTATCAGTTGTGAACTAAATTGTGGACTTGGCTCTAAAATCACATCATGAACTAGCCCCATTTTAGTCTAGCGGCATGGAAGAATCCAGCAAAAACAAACAAACCTGGAACTAATTGGAGGAAACCAGTCTTCATTGCAGTCATTAACCAGCATACCAAATTTACCGAATAAGCTGATTTGACTAGCCATGAGCTTGGCATGTGCAAAGCTTGTGTTAAGTAATTGAGAATCATCCCAATAAAGATGTTTCTTTAGCTTGTCCCAAACCACGTAATGTTGGGTGAATGAAAAAAAATTACTTAATTGGTCCCCTTTTATGGGGTCCCCTGCCGGAACCATACATAATATCACTTGAATCTGCACAGCACTCTTGGTTAAAATGAGATTGGCTTGCTTAGGATTGTGCAAACATGCCCTGAGTGTACTACCCCAAAATCCAGAGGCCAACCTGCATTCATGGCTTATGCAGCCAGGGTCTCCTTAACCACTAGACCCATAATGGTGAAGCTATGGCACGTGTGCCAGAGGTGGCAAGCAGACCCCCTTTTGTGGGCTCGCCAGCTATTGCCCCAGCTCAGCTCAGCTCTGCATGTCTGCGCATCACCTGCCAGCCAGCTGGTCTTTGGGTCTCTGCTGCGCATGCGTGGGGGGTGCATGCATGCACACGCACGCATTGCATTTTTGGGGTGCGCATGCATGCACGCGCTTTGGGCGCTCACTGCCAAAAAAGTTAGCCATCATATACTAAACCAAACTGGCTCTCTTGATGTCCTTACACAACTGTATTAAGTCAAGTCACCGTCAAAGTGCCAAAGGCCGCCCCCTTCATGGTCATGTGACTACAATTCTGGCCCTGGGGGAACTGAGTCATATATACTGCCTTTTGCAATGTCCCATGGTCACTTGATCACGTTTTGCAGTGGTTTTGATAATTGGCATTTACTTCTGGTTTTCAGTCAAACTGCGCTCATAGCAAAACCATAGGTTCGCCTAATGACCCTGGTGATTCACTTAACAGCCACAATAAAGGTCGTAACATTGGGTTGTCATATTATCAACTGCATTACAACCACATGACAATAGTGAAGGGCAGTCTCCATTATGGTAGTAACTCAAGACAAGTTTATAACTACTGACATCACCTGTACTGTTGTCTTATCATTGAGAGCCAGTTTGATGTAGTGATGAAGGTATCAAGCTAAAAACTGTTCTAATCCAATCTTAAGCACAAAGCCAGCTGGGTAATTTTGGGCCAGTTACTTTCTCTTAGCCCTAAGCAAGAAGCAATGGCAAATCGCTCCTGAAAACCTTGCCAAGCCAGTCTCTGAAAATTGGACACAATTGAACAAAAGGAGGGGAAAAAATCCTTAAAAATATGATTGGCATTCATAAAGGTTCAATTTTCCTGCAATTTGGTTTACAAATGCAAATGTTTTAGCTTTTGGGTGAGCAGACTCAACAGAAAGTGACTTGCTACTGAGAAAAAGTATGTTTTTAAATTTCATAAATACAACCAAGTTGTGTGTTCTGTGATAATACATTTTATCATAATACATAAAAAGTGCAAAATAATTTTAGGTTTATTGAAAGGTATTGTAGTCCCATGTTTATTACAAACTCTACATTGTACGGTAACTTCCTTTCTTTAAAATTCTCTTATGGGATAAAATGTTTCTTGGGAGATTTTTGTCAAGTCAGAGGACCCAACCTAGAAATATTATTTCCTTTGCTAAGATTCTCTACCTTCCTATCTCTAGCCCTCCGAGTATATTTTTTTTTCAGATTCTTTATCAGCTATGAAGGATTAAGAGCTTACAGATTGAAGATGAAATCCTAAATGCTTTTCTCCTGTAGATCCAGCCAAATTCAGCAACTCCCTGTCCAATTAAATTAGATTTAATCCTCCACTCAATAGTTCCGAGTGATGAAGAGATTCCCTCCTTGGGCAAGTACAGATAATCCTTGATTTACGACCACAATTGGGCCCCAAATTTATGTGCTCAGCAAGACATTTGTAAAATGAGTTTTGCCACATTTTACGACTTTTCTTGCCAGAGTTGCTAACTGGAATCACTGCAGCTGTTAAGTTAGTACTAGATACCCATTTGTTAAGTGAATCTGGATTCCCCACTGACTTTGCTTGTGAGAAGGGTTGCAAAGGGTGATCATATGACCCAGCAACCGTGGTAAATATGAACCAGTTACCAAGCATCCCAATTTTGATCTGCTGCAACAGTCCCAAGTGTGAAAAAGTAACTTTTTTTCAGTGTCGTTGTAATTTCGAACAGTCACCAAACGAACTGTTGTAAGTCAAGGACTACCTGTATTAGGGATCATCAGTTTTACACAAGGCGAGAAAAAATTGGTTAATTCTTAACGCTGCGCTACCACAGCCAGAAGCCCAGATTGGTTATAACTTGAACCAGCCCGGCTCGGCTCTTCTTTTCCTGGCCGAGTTCCCTCTTAAAGGTCCCTCGACTCCCGTTTTCTAGGTTCACACGACACACGAATCCCACTACCCGGATCTCAGCCTAGGTTCATTCGAGGGGCAGGTTAAGGAAGAATGGGGATCCACAGCGGCGCGGGAACACCCGCCCAGCACGCACCCTCCTTCGCACCCTCGCTTAGCCTAGCGCCCCGCGCGAAACCCGTGTAGTGGGGACGTGGGGACGCGCAAGCCGCGGGAGAATGAGCGGGCCCGAGTTTCCTGCGGGCGCGAACTCCTTCCAGGCACGGCGGCGTCCCTTGGAAAAGCAGGTCTGCCGAAAAGACAAAGGGAACAAAGCGCTCTGCGGCAGCCGATCCACATTCCTCGGGAAGAAAGGAGGCGTCTGGCTGGCTGGCGGGCGGGAGGGCAAGGCAGCTTCCCTCGGCCGCTGATCCCGCCTCGCTTCTCCTGCTTTTCCTTCCTTCGCCCGGCCGCCTTCGCCGAGCCCTCGCCGGCCCCGGCTCAAGAAAGCCAAACACGGGCTCTCCCCTCGGCGGCAGCCCCCACGCCCTCCAGGCCGGACCTTCCCCTCCTTCTTTCCCTCAGAGAGGGACGCTTCACCTGGCGCGAGCAGGGCCGCCTTTGTGCCTGCGCGCCCTACTCTCGGCCCGAAAGTAGTTCCGACCAGGCCGGTCCAAGAGACCACATCCCCGCTTTCCGTGTGTTTGTGTGTGTGTCTGTGTGTAAAAGTGGAAGGGGGGGGGGAGTAAAGGAGTCCCTCCGGAATGCGGCAGGGGCGGCTCCTGGCGCGTCCTCGGGAGGGGCGGCGTGAAGGGGCCGAGTTCTGCCGCGCCGTCGGAGCCTCTCTCGGCTGGCTGGCCGGGAGGGAGGAGGGAGGGAGAGACGCGTCTCCGCGCGCCTGTGGATGCGGCTGAGGGAAGGAGGAGGAGAAGGAGGAGGGGAAGAAGGCGGCGGCAGAAGGAAGGAAGGAGGAGGAAGAGGAGGAGGAGGAGGGCGCCTGCCTGAGCGAGCCCGGGAGCGGAGCCAGGGCGGAGACGGAATGCGCCCCTGCGCCGCCCCGGGTTCCCAGCCGGCTGAGGGGGGAGCGGCTCCCTGAGGAGGAAGGACCGAAGGGAGGAAGCCAGGAGGCGAGCCGGCGGGGCAGCCCTTCACTCCCCCCGCCCTCATCCCCGCCTTGGCTGCAGGAGGAGGAGGAGGAGGTGATGGAGGGCCGGGGCCGCGTCCCCTGCCCTCGCCGGGCTCCCTCGGCCAAGTAGCCGCCTGGCCCGCAGCGCAGTGCCCGCCTTCCGCGGCCCCCTTCGGAAGCATGAGCGGGCAGCCGAGGAGCCGCCGCCGCCGCCGCCGCCATCCTCGGCCGCCGCCGCCGCCGGCTCCCGAGTCTCCTCCGCCGCTGCCGCGCCGCCGCCGCCGGTGAGAGCCGGCCGAGCCGAGGGAAGATGGGCGCCGTCGTGCGGAGCCTCCTGGTCTTCGGCTTGTGCGCGCTGGCGAGAGGTGAGGCGGGAGGGGAAAGCGGGAAGAAAGAGGGAGCGAGGCCGGCCGAGCCGGGCTGTGGGACCTGCGGAGCGGAGACACAAAAGACGCGGCCGCCGAGCCGGGGTCGGTGGTTCCCCCACCCACCCACCGACCCACACCTGCGTGTCGGGTTCGCTTCCGTGGGCTTTTTCTTCCACCCACCCACCGACCCACGCCGCGGGGTCCCCCTCCCCGCCTTATCTTTACCTCACGAAGTTGGCCGCCTTCTTGGACAGGTTTCTCCGGAGCCAGAAGATGATGGGTTTGGGGAGGCTCGGGGTTCCTGGCAGCCGAAGAGGCTTCTCCGTGGGCGGCTTCGCGCGTGGGACCAGGGAGCGTGGCCGAGTTGGATCCCTGGCAGAAAAAAACAGCAAACAACCCCACGCAGGATTCCTCCGTGGAATTGGGGGGGGGTTGCTCTCGACTCTCTCTCTCTCTCTCTCCAGATTTAATCAAAAAAGGGCCTCGAAATCGAGGCAGCCCGGAAAACAACATGGACAGGGCACTAATTGCTTTTGCCAAGCACAAGAAGTGGGGGATCTTTTTTGCATACAGGTGGTCCTCGTCTTACAGCGGTTCGTTTAGTGACCCTTCAAAGTTAAGGCCTGTCCAGGGGGCGGGAAAAGTGACTTTAACAACCATTTTTCATGCTCTTGGGGAACACTGCTGAGTCTGGATCCAAATCCAGACACTTGGCGACTGACTCGTATTTGTGACGGTTGAGGTGTTTCTCCCGGGGAATGGGGTGTCCCCGGGTCCCCTTCCTGACAGGCAAATTCAATGGGGAAGCCGGATTCGCTGAACCACGGTTTTGACTGATTTAACAACTGCAGTGGTTCGCTGCAAATTCACTGAACAAATGTTTCACTTAGCAGTGGAAGTTTTGGGCTCGATTGTGACCATAAGTCGAGGACTTACCTCTACGTTTCAAATCATTGAGTTTGGACAAGGGGAAAAAAGGGGCTCCTGGGACACCAAGAGAAAAACATGTTTAGTTTTTAGGGGCCTGCCTGGTTGGTTGGTTGGTTCTCCCCACTGATCCAAACTAACGAAGTAGTTTGCATGTTGCTTGATCAAAATGTAATAAAATGATTACTGTTATCAGTATCACCCAGTGTTTTGCATTAGTTCTCAGTGGCAAGCATCAGGTGTGTAAAGTAGTTCTAACTTCCTTACGCTATAATGGGAGGAAAATAACACAGCTGCTTTTTCTGTAAGGACCTGTATCAGTCTTGAAAAATTCTCCTTCCAGGGATGTTTTCTGCTCTTTTTTTCAGATGAACTTTCAGAGGTTGAACTAGGTTGGAGGGAGTCCCAGAAAATCAGTAATAATGGGGAAAATATGTTCCTATTCCAGGAATATTTGCCAGATAAGCTGTTTTCCTACAGAAATCATGTGTGTGATTAAATTCATGGGGGAGTATCACATTTTCCACTTGAAGAGTTAATCTGAGAGAGAGAGAAAATATGTTTGCATGAACATTTTCCTGCATAAAATCTACTTGTGCTGTGTTTTCTATAAATAATCAGATTAAGGAGCACCCAGAGCAGATATGGAAGATTCAACTGCGACGTTCTTTTTTTTAAAAAAACGAAAGTCCCGCTATGTATTTCCATATTTCTGTTAAGCTTTGTAAACCTTTGCCATTTATGAGGGGGGAAAGGTAGTGTGTAGTCCATGCTGCATTTTATTTTCCTTATCTTGATGCCAGAAATAGAATTTGGAACAATCATCAATAACTTTACATTTGAGATTTCATTGGAATTAATGGATATGGCGTAAAAGAAGGTGTTCCTTCTTGGAAAAGGAAACAGAATTGGGTTCTTGTTCAGAACTTATTGCAAAGAACACAGCTGTCCAAAAGCAAGGTGGTATCTTGTCTGTAGACCCAATTAAAAATTAATAGCAAGTCGCGGCAACAAATGGGAGAAGTGGATGATCGTCTTTATGGACGATTACTTAAATATGAGCTAACATTGTGTGGCAGCAGCCAAAAGAAGGTAATACAATCCTTGGTTGTATAAACAGAGGCATGCAATCAAAATCACATGAAGTATTAGTACCTCTCTATAAAACGTTAGTAAGTCCACACCTGGAATGCTGCATCCAGTTTTGTTAACTACATTACAAAAAAGATGTTGAGACTTTGGAAAAAGTGTAGAGAAGAGCAACTAAGATGATTAAGGGTCTGGAGACTAAAACATACGAAGAACGGTTGCAGGAATTGGGTTTGGCTAGTCTAGTGAAAAGGACTAAAGGTGACATGATAGCAGTAATCAAGTATTTGAGGGGCTGCCACAAAGAAGAGTGGCGGTCAATTTAGTCTCCAAAGCACCAGAAGGCAAGACAAGAAACAATGGATGGAAATTAATCAAGGAGAGAAGCAACCTGGAATGAAGGAGAAACTTTCTAACAGTGAGGACAATTAATCAGTGGAACAGCTTGGCCTTCAGAAGTTGTGGCTTCTCCATCACTGGAGCTCTTTAAGAAGAGACTGGCCAGCCACTTGTCTGAAATGGTATAGGGTTTCCTGCCTGAGTAGTGAGTTGGACTACAAGACTGCTGTTCCAGCTCTATTCTGATTGATTGATTGATTGAGGCCTAGAACTTATTAAATGAAGGAATGAAAAAATTCAGGTAGTAGCGTAACATTGTTTTGACCCCTTGCCTGTATTTTAAAAAATGCCAGCACATCCAAGATATGTGAACTATGTCCTCTGTTCTGCTGGATTCAGATGTAACACTCCACCCCTTAAAACGAATGGGACCAAAACAGCAAAAAATTATGCTAGTGAAGGTTGTACAGAAGAAATTGGTTTGAGGTGCAGAAGGAATTAATGTCAGTATTTCTTCAGAGATCGTTTAGGGCAATGGCCCCCAACCTGTTGAACTCCAGGGATACTGGTTCTGTGGAGGGAGGTTTTTCCACAGACCAGTTGGGGACCCCTTATTTTAGGGTACAACCAAATGGCCACATTAAAATATCCATGAACTGGCAGGAAAGTGCTCGAATCCTGTCATATTTTACTGATGAAAAAGGGTGCTGACCTTCCTGTTTCAATGTAGAAAAAGGTCAAGAAAATGGCCCATGGTTTTCTTGGGCATCGCATTTCCTCTTATTACATGTTTCCCCGCATCCAGCATCCCACCTAGCAACTCCTGGTTCAGAACTGCTACGTACCTGTGACCCTGCAGCCAAGCTATTTCTCAGCAGGGCTCTAGTGCTTTTCTAAAAGAGTGTTAAACCTATGCTAAATCTTCTCCCATTTGTTGTCATTAAGTCTAACTTTCTTGGTGTTATTTTCCCAACGTCTCTTGCATTCTTTTTGGCAGAAGGCGTGGAAACCCTGTATGTGTATGAGGATGACAGGACCACCCATGGACAGCTGGCAGAACCATAATTTTCGACGGTTTAAATCAACTTTCTGTGCAACACAAAATAATTAATACTCTGTCAAGACCCATTTCTTTACAAATAGGCTTAGCCTCTTTCCAAGGAGTGTTCAATTTGTGTTCACAAGGAAACCATGGAGGTCTATAAGCATCATGGAAAGCATCAGTCAGGCTTTACACAGACAATGCCCACTTTAAGCTCTGTGCCCACAGCTTAAAGTGGGCAAGAGAAACTGGGCAGACCTCCTCCCTGACTGTGTTATCACTGATGAAGCACATTAAGTCATGTCCATAGCAAAATAAAAACAACTTTGTTCACAGAGAAAACATTGTCTGGGACACCTAATTATGACTTTAAGTTGCCTCAGCTGTTGGTCAGAGTTGAGATGAAGATAAGGTCATGAGGATATCAAATCTGGAAAAAAAGGGGTGATGTGTTTGCTGTTTGGCTTTGTGCCTGCAGAGTTGTGTTTTGTCCTCTTTGGTTGGAACTGGCTGTGGGCTAATGAAGAAGAGAAGTTGGATTGTGAAATGTTCCATTTTGTATGCCTTTGAAAGAATAATGACAAAGCTTGGCCCTGTAGATCAATGAAAATGTTTTCTAACAGGCAGCTCCTCTGATGTGGTTTAGAGCATAGAAGTCAAATAAATACTATATATATTTGGTTCCCAAGGATGGGGAGCCATTACCCCTCCCCCCAATAGGATACACATGAAGTGTCTTCCTTCTCTGAGCAATTTTTTGCCAGCTCGCTCTCTCTGTTTGTGTGTGTGTGTGTGTGTGAGAGAGAGAGAGAGAGAAGCTGCACAGATATTTGGCTTCTTCATTGGTCTGGAGTTAAAGGGAAAAGATTGCTGTGATGCTCCTTGAAGCAGCAAGGGAAAAGGTTGAGTGCTCTGCATGCATTCATACATGCTCTGAAGCACCTTTCCCCTTTCAGTCCAAAATGCTGCACAGGAGTTATTTTTATTGCCTGGTTGGTAGTTGGTGTATTAATTCACAATAGTATAGCAGAGGGGCTACAGTACTATATTTTTGTTAGAGTGGAGAGACCTGGTTTCAATTTTTCACTAGATAAATACAAACCAGCTATTAGTGTTCCATCTGTATGGAGTATGTTCAGCCTAGCTAGGAAAGGATTCCTGATTCAATGATTCAGTTCCATATCTGGAGGGATTTACTTAACAGAATAACAGTTGGAAGGGTCCTTGGAGGTCTTCTAGTCCAACTCCCAGCTCAAGTGTACCCTTTCAGACAAATGGTTGAGCAATCTCTTAAAAATTTCCAGGGTTGGAGCATCCACAACTTCTGGAGTCAAATTGTTCCACAGATTAATTGTCCTCACTCTCAGGAAATTTCTCCTTGGTTCTAGGTTGCTTCTCTCCTTGATTAGTTTCCACCCATTGCTTCTTGTCCTGCCCTCAAGTGCTTTGGAGAATAGCTTGACTCCCTCTTCTTTGTGGCAGCCCCTGAGATATTGGAACACTGTTATCATGCCACCCCTAATCCTTCTTTTCATTAAACTAGACAGACCCAGTTCCAGCAAAAGTAAATCTGATGCACTTACTTGAAAGTAAGTGCATCAAATTTCAGTGTGTCTTACTCAAAGCTTCATTCTTTAGTATTTCTTGTAGATTTTGGAAGACTTAATTTGTTTGGGTGTGGTAGCAAAAACAGTTGGCTGAGAGACTAACAATTCTATTGTTGAGACATCTGATGACATGGGCTTTGTTTGGGGAAAATGCTGTTAGCCTTTCTGAGTTCTCAAGAAAAGTTGCTTGTTATCCTTTGCATAAATATTAGCACTTAATGGGGTTATTTATATGAGAGCAGGCAAACTTTATTATTACTTGCTGGGTAATACATAAATGAAGTAATGTTGCCCAACCTTGATTGGTTGAAGTTGTATGGACTTCAACTCCAAGAATTTCCCAGCAAGCATTTTTCATGGTGGTTGTTAAATGAATCATGCAGTTGTTAAGCAAACTAATAAATGAACCCATTCTTCCAAATAGATATTTTTTTGCTGGAAACTGGCAGAAAATACTATAAACCAACAAAAAAATCACAAATTATAGTCACGTGACTATGGGACAATGCAACTGGCCATAGCCGTGGTCATAAATTTCCCCAGCCATTGTTGTTTAAAAAAATGAGTTATGATTTGGTGATGTATGTAAATCCAGCAAAGTTTGCTTGTACATCCAATCATGGCTAACAAAATCGTGGTTTGGTTCAGTGTTTTAATGTAATTGTCCTGCATTTTATGGAGAATTTTTTAAAAATAAACTTAAGATGCTCAAGTATTTCTTCCTAATAGCTCACAGCTAATATGATCAGAACCTTAATTTTTTTATGTGTTTGTTAAAACAAGTTACACTTTTCTTTTCCATTCCCCCAACTGCTGTCTCTTCCATAAGTCAAGGGTTGTACGTGCTTTTAATGCATAAAATTGAATTTCCTCAGACATCCCTTATTTTCATGGTGGTATCGCCTTCCATTTTGTTGATTTCTTCATATTAGAAATTTAGATATAAACCGTTTGGGACAAAAGCCTCTTTAATTTTGATCACTTTTGGAGTACACTTCAGTTTGTAGACTTGACTGAATAAATTACATTCAGAAGGGGAAAATAAGAGCAACCTGCAGCTAGAATACATAAATAAATCTTAGTTTTCCAGTTTTCCTTTGGAGAGCGATATAAACAGAAATTGAAATAGGGCAAACTATAGATGTTTTGCTGAAAATTTAGGCTAACAATTGTGTAACTTAAAGTTTTTCAGTGCTGTAGTCTTGCTTATATTCAGTAGAATTGCTGTAAGCAGATACTCTCAAGCTATTCTTCTGTATATATATTGTTGAATTTTTTTTTTTAAAAAAGGACTGATATTGAGGACCTGGCCTTGGCAATATTGATCTGCTGCTGTAAAGATCTCAGAGAGATTGAATCTGACTTGTCCATAACTTGAATGCTAAAGGGAAGAATTGTGGTTCTTTGGAATATTTTGCCAGTGGCTTTTTAAATTACAAAGAAATGTCTCCTAGAAATCTACCAGAGAAAACTAAAAGAGTTAACTGAATAAGTAATTAGTGAGGGAGATCGGATAAGTTGGTTTTGTATGTAGAACAAATGAATTGAAATGTTTTGGAAAGTTCTAAAACCTCCCCAAAATGTTCTGCTTCCATATTGGTTTGGTTTGTATTTGGTAGTAGTATATTGACATATGCTGCGTAAACTAAAATGTTCTTCAGGTATGGAGTTCTTGATGGTATCTGAGATTGGTTGTTTACTTGCAGATGTTTCATTACCCAATTTGGTAACAGCACCATTTGAGAGTGAGTGGGGGGGGGGGGTTGCTGCTTGTTTTCATATACCATAGTCATTTGTCCTTCCATACCTTGGTGGAGGTATAGTTATCTCCTGGTGTTTCCTTGATTAGTTATTATCTGTCTGATTGTTTGGCGTTGATCCCTGCTTATCTGAGTATTGGTAGCTGGAAGGCATGCTTTGAGTCTTTTTGTTCCCTTCCAAGGTTTTTTAATTGACTCTTTTGACTTGTAGTTGTGTATATATAGTTTATCTCTATCTATATTGATGGCTGATTTGCCTGAATGCTGAGCTTCCAGGAATTCCTTAACTGTTCTTTTATCTGGGATGCTGGCAGTTTTCCACTTGAAATAATGGCTGAGTCTGACTGTGTATTGTGAAATTGAGGAGTTTTCTTTGGGTTTTCTGACTTCTAGTTGGTATTCATGGATGTCCTCTCTGCTTCTCTATTTTACATAAGTAGACCTGGATATCTATGAGACAGCCTGCTCCCAGTGGCTCTCTGGCCACCCACTTAAGGAAGAGCAAGATTATTCAAGATTCTCTCTCTTAAAATATATATAATTTACCAGATTCTGGGAGATGGGCTTTCTTGATTGCTGGAGCAGCATTCCCCAAAGCACCAATCTCAGCTGTTTTCACAGGCCTTGGAGATGATCTTAGAGATAGTCCTTTTGTGTAAGAATGTATGTGTATATGAGGTTATGATTCCTTGGCATAGGAATAGTTTATTGTTGGTTATTTTAATCTTCTTTTTGCATGGTGGTAAATTGATTGGAGTTGATTATTTGAATGTCATGTAAGCTTAATATTCTATGATTGTTATTCCCAGTGGCTCAAGGAAACTCATATCCAGGTGACTCATATCCAGGTGATTAAATAATGCAAAAGCCATGCAAAAAAATTTGTCATTTGGGCCACAGGTAAGAGATATAGGAAGCGTATGTGAGATAGAGTCGTGGATGATGTATTTAAGGAACTACCTATTGTTGACTATAATTAAAGAAGAGTTGACATGCTGAGGAGAATTGATGTGGTGTTCACATTATTGTATGCTAACCCACAACAGAATCTGGTTGCGTTTGGCCTAGTGTGATGCGCAGAAGGAATCACTGAACGAACCAAAGTGTAAAACCATAATTGGCTGATGGTTAAAATTGGATTCACACATTACGTTTTTCTTTTATCCATGGAATTTTGAACAAGTCCTGGTTCACACATGACATTATGGCATTCATGAAGGTTTGTACTCTAAAATTTCTGGACTTACATACTACTCTAGGCCATAAGTAAATAAACCACTTGCTGAGAATAGCCCATATCTCTACTTGTTGTGCAAATGCAGATTTAACTATTCTGAAGTTTTTTCACCTGAATAATAACGAGCAGAAAGTCCACACACATTCAGTCTCCAGGGAATTACTTTTTTTTTATTTTTTAGAAACGCTTTCTTCTACATTTGTCTCATCCTGTTTTAAGACCTTTTTTAAAGATGGTTATATATTCTACCAGAAAACTCTGAGTACTTCTTGAGTGAGACATTCTGTGTTACAACTGGTGCCGGTACACTGTTAAATGAATTACACCTTTACACTTTGGTTGTCCTTGGTGTCAAGTCAACTAAATCATATTCAGGGGGTTATTTTCAGACTTTTTGAAGTGCAAGAGTGAAACATTTAAGTTACAGTGTTTTTAGATAAATATTCACCAGGAAAGATTAATATTAGAAGTTAAACTTACTGATAGAGGTATTTTAAATGGTTGGAAGCTTTGCATCATGCTTGACTTATATAATGTGTTCCTCTTTCTCCAAAGCATCTCCACTGTTGCTTTATGCAAATCGGCGTGATCTTCAGCTGGTGGATGCTGCGGACGTGACCGAGAATGCTACGATTGTGGTGGGTGGCTTGGAAGATGCTGCTGCGCTGGACTTTGTCTTCATCCACGGCTTGATATACTGGAGCGACGTCAGCGAAGAAGCCATTAAACGTACAGAATTCAACCAATCCGGAAATGTGCAAAACATTGTCATTTCTGGGCTCTTGTCACCTGATGGGCTAGCTTGTGATTGGCTGGGTGAAAAACTGTACTGGACAGATTCTGAAACAAACCGGATCGAAGTTTCCAATTTGGATGGATCTTTGCGAAAGGTTTTATTCTGGCAAGAGCTGGATCAACCCAGAGCGATTGCATTAGATCCTGCAAGAGGGTAGGTCCATTTCTTTATGGGGTCAGAGCAATTTTTGCCAGCTCAGTAGGGGCCTCTGAGCAAAGAGGACATGTCCAAACTGATGCTCTGCTGTGTCATTGTTTCAAAACTTTAATTAAGCCATAATATAGGCTGTCTTCCCAGGAAACCCTGCTTGTATACCATGAGGGTTGTAGGCTAGGCTGGGAAGTTGAAGGAACGTACTGAAAGGAGATGGTGGCAATCCTTTTTCATCTGGGCCCCAGACAAGCCTAACATGAGGGAGGGACTTTATTTTTGTGAAGTATGCTTTAAAAAAAGTTCTTAATTTTCCAGCATCCAAGAATAAGAAGTTAAATGATTCAAGCTCAATTGCATTAGTGCTTTTATGCATAGATTCATGAATCACAATACCTGCAGCATGAGAAGCAAAAATTAGACAAACTAAAGGGTGAGGAGACCATGCAGATGAATAGGCAGAGCTTCCATCGCAATTGCCATCTTGGCTTTCGGACTGTGCTCTGTTGACAGTCCTGGAAGGATCCAAATCACTATAAATATTAACAGTAGGAAAAATAACAGGAGTAGGGTGTGCAAAACCCTCTTGTTTGGGGGAGGATGGAATGTTTTGAGCAATTCTGGAAATTCCATCTTTGTTGCAGACTGTACCTATCCCTGTCTTTTAGGGATGCTAAGTAAGAATAACTATAGTAAATACTCACGTTTTCACAAGTCTTGTTTTGGCCACCAACGGCAGTGGCCATGTCTTGTTATCCATGGACAAGGTGCTACCTTAAGCGTTTCAAAGAAGTAAGGCATCTATAATGCTCCTTAAAACCTTTGGTACGGGGGAAATCGGCCTTTGGAAGGCTTAATACACCAATGCTAGCCCCTCTAAAACAGGTAGCATTTTGGGGCTTCTCCCACTTGGGGTGCGGGGGGGGGGAGAGCTCTTTAAATGGCTATGAAGTGGTCCACAGGTATGTTGTAAGTTTTTGTTTATCCTTGTATGTGGAATGACCTTGAAAGTCAACCAATGTATGTCAACTACCTGTTCTCTTTATCCCGGATGTCAAATGTCCTTGTGCTTGCAGAATGTGGATTTCTTTGCCAGAATGATCAAAACGTAAGTGTTCTGTACAGTGGTGGTTGGTGTCCTCTTCATTTTTTTAAAAGACATACCAGGTATACTATGTACTCTGTGAAGAGGTGCCTCCTTTTTTGAGAGAGAGAGACAGATGAACATTTTTCATTGCAAATACATTGTTTTGCTTCACGTCAAGGTTGGCTGTTCTCCTCTTGGTTTTAATCATAAAACCTAGTGTGAGCTATAGGATTTAAAGTCTTCCTTGAAAATGGTCATTTAAGTATTGCCAACAGCTCATTAGTAACAAGATTCTCAGCTTTCCCTAATTTCTTCTTCCTACATCTTCACCTTGTCCTCACTTTGACACTGAAGGTGAAATGTCAAGCTAATTAAATTCAAATGTATTTTGTGGATTTTTAAAAAAATAAATTGTGAGTTTCAATGTTGAATCATGATAATATAATCTGCTAACTCTATATGTCAGAATTATTACCTAAATCTCTTGCTTTGAGAGCAGATTCCTTAGGTATATGTTACTCAGAGAGTAAACACAAAGAACAATGAGAAGTTCTCTCACTGAATTTCATTTCAGTTTTGCAGGAGTTGTTGCAGGCAGTGCATCTGAATTAGAATCCAAATGATCATTCTCAGAAATTTAACAATACGTGAAAGCTCAATTATTTCCTGAAGAAATGCCTAACTGGCACACTAAATTGCCACCTCACTGGATATTCATTGACAGGAAATTGTTAACAGTATCTGCTCTCCATTCCAATTGTGCATAAAATGAGAGCTGATTTTTAAGTGATAGCTCATGGAAAAAAGGCATATTAAATAGAATTCTGTTTGCCTAGCTTGAAAAGCATGTCACAAAGAAAGAAAACAAAAAGTGTGTTTTTATAAATGCATGATCAAAATGAACAAATAAAAATTGAGTAAAGGTTAAAATTACACAAAAATGTTGAAATAAATTTACCTCAGATATATTTACAGAGGCAGTAAAAATAACTCTTTGCAGCTATAGAAGCATAATCCTGTAAACTCTTTACTAATTAGAGTTAGCAGCCAAGTTAGCAGCAACCATCTCAGTTTGTTCATTCTCACTCTTAGCACCAATTCACAGTTCCTCCCATGATTAAGAAGGCCTGCTATACTTGAGGCTTTTAGTTTGGAGGAAAGAGGAGACGTGATGGAAAACATCCTAAAAACTTTGCAGTATTATATATTACAGGTCATCCCCGACGTAACTACTATCTATTTATTGACCATTCAGAGTTACTGTGGCATAAAAAGGTGACTTGACCATTTTTCACCTTAATGACTGTTGCAACATCCCCATCATCATGTGATCAAAATTCATACACTTGGCAACTAACTCGTATTTATGATGGTTGCAGTGTCCCAGGGTCATACGGATTACATTTTGCCACTTTCTGACAAGCAAAGTCAGTGGGGAAGCCAGATTCATGTAACAACTGTGTTCCTAACTTAACAGCTGCAGTGATTCACCTAACAACTGTGGCAAGGAAGGTCTTAAAATGGGGCAAAATTCACTTAACAGATGTCTCGCTTGGCAGTAGAAATTGTGGGTCCAATTGTAACCTGTTTCCCCGAAAATATGACCTACCCTGAAAGTAAGTCCTAGGTTGATTTTTACCCGTGCGCCCAATATAAGCCCTACCCTCCAAAGAAGCCCTAATTAAGATCCCACCCACTCCAGAATGGATGGGTAAAAATTAAGCTAGGGTGGGGATGAGGGAGTGAAGTTGCCCTACTACTTGCCTTTGGATTGATCCAGAGCTCAGTTATTGGCTGCAGAGGCCTTCAGGAAAGCCTTGCCAGCCGCAGAAGAAGAAGTTCTTGAAGGCCTCTGACAGCGAAAAGGAGGCCGGGGTGATGTGCGCATGTGAGGTTAGTCAGTGGATGACTTCCCCCCAAAATAAGACCTGGTGCCTTTTGTGGCAGAAAAAATAAATAAGACAAGGTCTTATTTTCGGGGAAATATGATAGTCATAAATGGAGGACTGCCTGTAAGGATTACATATAACCTGCTTGGTAAATTCAGGCAACAGATTTTGGCATGTGTTTCTCTGCAGGCTGCATCCCAACATCAGCCAAGAAATAGAACCGAGATAAGTTTTGCATGTTGAAATGCAGTCTGAAGGATTCATAATCAGGGAGGCACGATGTTGGCACGGTCCCTCTGGGAGAGAGCTTTGGTCATAATGTTTGCAAGGTGCTTTTTTACATGAAGATGATTCCAGTCTTTGGTAGAAAGAACCAGGTTCAGAATTAGTGCTGGATTTAGCAGCTTCTGTAAATGGTGCCATCAGCACAAGGGAATTGGTCTTTAGAGGTCCTTTTTGCTTCTTTTGACCATGATTGAACGTTGTGGTCCATTTGGGCTTCCTGGGTGTGGAGTTTTGTTTTTTTTTCTTTTCAGAAATGGAAGAGGAACTTCCCCCATCCCTATTTTTCTAAATATATCAGAAATAATTAAAACAAACAAACAAGCCAGCCCTACCCAAGAGAGATGCAATCCAAAATGATGCCAGAAATTTACAGGGAACCCTCAATTTATGGACAGAATTTGCATTGCCAAGCAAGTTGATTGCTAAGTGAGCTACACTCAATTTTATGACCTTTTTGTCATGGTTGTTAAGAAAATGACTGCTGTTTTTAAGCAAATCATGCCATCGTTAAGCGTATCTGGCTTCTGTTGATTTGTTTGTTGGGAGCCAGTTGGGAAGGTTTGCAAATGGCGATTACAGGACCTGGGTTGCTGCAACTGTCATAAATAGCACGCCATTTGCCAAGTCCCCAAATTTTGATCATCCAATCATGGAGATGCTGCAATGGTCATCACTGTGAAGACGGGTCATAAATCACTTTTTCCAGTGCTGTTGTAAAGGAATGATTGTAAGTACAGGACTGCCTGAACCAGGATATGCCTACTTCACAGACTAACCCCATTATCCAACTCAGATCAAGAACAGAGGTAACAAGCAACGTACTTAATTGATATTTTGCTTCTGTTTGGAAGATGCTTACAGTGTATGGCGGGGGGGAGAAATGGACTTATTTTTTTATTTTTTTTTAAATCTCAGGTTCATGTACTGGACGGACTGGGGAGAAATGCCAAAGATAGAACGGGCTGGGATGGATGGTTCAAGCCGTTCAGTTATCATCAATGCAGATATTTATTGGCCAAACGGATTAACCTTGGATTATGAAGAACAGAAGCTGTACTGGGCAGATGCCAAACTGAACTTCATTCACAGATCAAACCTGGATGGGACACATAGGTAGGAATTAAGATGGTGATTTTATAGGAAACCTGCGTTTTTAATCCTAGACAAATGGAAAAGGAAGCCCTCGTCTTACAATATTGTAATTGAGCCGTGAATTACAATCTTAAGCCAGGATGGACAACTATAACTTCTTTATTGCCTATGGACCTCAATCCCCAGAATTCTGGGAGTTGAAGTCCACAGGTAGTAAAGAGGCCGCAGTGGCCCACTCCTGGTCCTAAGTCATGGTTGTCATTAAACAGGTCGCCATGTGTCTGTGACTAATTTTTTTGCAGTGGTTATTAAATGAATCCGTTATACCCAATGGACATTTTTTTTTTGCCAGACCCCTGAAGTCTAAACTGGTGAAAAATCACCAAAAATCATGTTCACCTGGCTACAGGACACTGCAAAAGACTATAAATGCAAGCTGGTTGTGCAAAATGTGGTCTTAGGTTGTGGTCGTTGGAACTCCAGCATCAGGTTCTAAGTACCTTTTTGAAAGTTTGGTACCATTGTAAATTTGAATAGTTGCTACGCAACAGATTGTTAAGCGAGGGCAGTCTGTAATAGAAGCCCATGATTTCTCTGCTTTTGTTTTATTTTGTTAAATTTCAGATATCTTGATTTAGAATCATACTTTGTTTTTATCTACAAAAGAAAGGTAAGGACAGTTAATTTTCTATGAATTTCCAAAGGAAGTTTCTTAAATTTGTTTGATTCAAGTAAAATCAAATGAGAATGAGATTATTCTCTCAAGAGTTCTCACTATTAGAATTACTGTCAAGATGTGTATTCTTATCTTTCTGAAAAGATGGTTCTATCTTGCAAAATGTTTCTGTGTATAGATAAATGTGAAGAGAGAAATGTCATTTTATACCCACTGATTGGGTTGAATTTTAGTATTGGGATATTCCTGCTTTTGAGAATGGCTTTTAACTACAAAAGCTGGCATTTGAAAAAAAAAAAAAAAGTGAATGAAACAGTGTGCTTAATGCTTACATTTAATTTTTTTTTGTTTATTTTGCATGCTATGTGGAATTCTTTCAACTGGGGGTAAATTACGATAGTGAATATTAAGTGTGGGAAAATTATGCAGCTATTCAAAACTTTAAAATATTTATGAAGTCATTTGTTTAAAGTGCACTGAAATATAGAAACATTTACAAGTATGGCATATCTTTGAATGGTATAATTTTCAGTCATTAATAGTCTGAATCAATAGCAGAAAGGAAAAAGAAGTGTTTGGCTTAACAATGGTCCCTATCAATATAGGTAGTCCTCAATTTACAAGTTTGTTTAATGACCGTTCAAAGCTATAATCTTATTGAAGAAAGTGACTTATGACCATTTTTCACACTTATAACTGTTGTAGCATCCTCATGGTCACATGATTTACATTTGGATGCTTGACAGCTGACTCATATTTATGACGGTTGCAGTGTCCTGAAGCCATGTGATCCCCTTTTGTGATCTTCTGACAAGCAAAGTCAATGGAGAAGCCAGATTCATTTAACAGCCATATTACTAATTTAACAACTGCAGTGATTCACTTAACATATGTAACAAGAGCAGTTGTAAAAGGGGGGCAAAACTCACTTAACAAATTTCTCACTTAACAACATAAATGTTGGGCTCAATTGTGGCTGTAACTTGAGAACTACCTATATTGTCCCTTCCCTAACATATAGCTGAGTAAGGATTACTCACAATGTGCTCTTCTAATTGGATCTGACCACATGTAGAAGAACACACAATAATAATGTACCCCATAACAAATTGCAAGCTGGGGAAGCTTTTTCTCATAATGATGAAATTGGTTTATCTGTAATTTTGTTCAGTTGGTTTGTGTTGCTGATTTTTTTTTTTAATTGTCAGTTGGAGTCACCCCTATACTTGCTGGATTCACTGTAGTTATTTATCTTTGTTTATTTTTTTTAAGTGAGCTCCAAAGAACCACTGGATGAATGTGGCCTGTTTTTTTCAGAATAATGATTAAAAAAAAACTTTTTTGAGGTCACTCTGGGCAATAGCCCAGGGTGTTTTTGTAATGATGTTCTAATGGCTTGAGTGTCTAAATTCAGTGCCAGGAAAAGTGCTCTTTTCCTCTACACCCAGTCCTTTTTAGGACCTGACTATAAATCTCACCCAGTCCTTTTTAGGACCTGACTATATTAAAAATATGTTACAGTCTTAATGTAAAAGACCATACTTAATGTAAAGACTGAATGTAAAGAATTATCTTTGAATGTAGTTATATTAAGAGATAATTATTTATTGAAGTGACTTTTGTGCATTTTTGCAACTGTGTGAATCATTTTTGGCTGATGTCTATGCCTCCTATTATTTATCTCAATTCCCACCCCCCCATTTTGATATTATTTGCCAATGATTTTCTCAATAAGACAAACCCAAAAGGATGGCAAATGAATGTCCAGTCATTCAGCAGTTATATCCAAGTTGCTTCATTGAAAATGTGATCAAAGAAATTGATCACATTTTATTAAATTTCAATAGAAATTTAAATGTAATCAAAGATGAATGAAAATTAAAATAGTGTGTTTTTGTTTCAAAAATTACTCATTTGAAATGGAAAGAATAAGGAAAAAAAAGTATTTACGTGTCACTTTTGTGAATTATTACTGTTTGCTTCCATAGTAATTATTGACTGGCATATAAAATAAGTTGTGACAAGGTGGTATTGCCCAAAGACACCCAGGTACGCACATCAGGAGTGTTATCATGTGTGTTTTGTTCCAAAATGCTGATGTGATGGCTAGGGCCCTATTTGTTTTTGTCTTTTGTTTTCTGTACAGTGGTGGTGAGTTCAGAAGCATGTTAATCCATTTCAATCTACTGTGGTAATCAGTTAACATTGTTTGCTCTTACATTAAGTGCTTCTATATATTAAGTAATGGTTGATTATGTGCCATGAAGTCATTGTCGATGCTTAGCAACCACATAGATTTTTTCTGTGGTTACCTAAGTGGTTCTTCAGCTTTGCCAACTGCATCCCCATCCACTGAATTGAATGTCACACACCTTCGTGCTGCTTGTCCTCTTCTTCTCATTCGCTCCACTTTTCCCAGCTTTAAAGCCTTTTCCAGAGAACATAAAGTGTCCACAATAGGGTAATTTTAACCTATCATTTATGCCTCAAGTGAGAACTCCGGGCCGATTTGTTCTAGCATCCATTTGTTTCCTTGGCTGTCCGTGAAATTTTTGGGATTGTCTTCCAACATCAAAGTTCAGAGTCTTCAAGTCCTATGTTCACTCCTGTAGATCAGGGGCATCAAAGGTAAGGCCCGTGGGCTGGATCCAGCCCGCAGGGTGCTTAGGTCTGGCCCGTGGGGCTGTCCTGGAAATAGCGAAGGACTGGCCCACGGTGCCTCTGCCAGTGAAAAAGGGAGCTTGGATGGGCCACGCGCAGCCCTCCCAGGCTCCGTTTTCAGCCATGATGGCATCATGTAGCCCTCTGAAAATATAGTTCCGTTTTCTTTGGTAGAGGCCTGCAGGAGGCCGTTGTATCTGAAAATGGAGCCTGGGAGGGCCACGCGCAGCTCTTCCAGGCTCAGTTTTTGCTGGCAGATGGCTGCAAGAGGATCCCCCCAGTCCTGCCCAGGCCACCATAGGTGACCCCAACGTTGAGCCGGCCATGCTCACCCTGGCCATATGCGCCGGGGCCCCCACGGTCAAACACAACCCTGATGCAGTCCTCAGTGATACTGAGTTTGATACCTCTGCGGTAGATTGTTAGAGAGAATATCATGGCTTGCATTGCTCTGATTTTTGTAGGTAGATACAGGTAGTCCTTGACTTACGACCACAACTGAGCCCAAAGTTCTGTTGCTAAGTAAGACATTTGTTAAGTGAGTTTTGCCCCATTTCATCACCATTTTTGCCACAATTGTTAAGTGAATCATTGCAGTTGATAATTTAATGATATGGTTGTTAAGTGAACCTGGCTTCCTCATTGATTTTGCTCACCAAAAAGTTGCCAAAAGGGATTGCATGACCTTGGGACTCAGCAAGAACGGTCATAAGTATGAACCAATTGCCAAGCAACTGAATTTTGATCACATGACCATGGGGATACTGCAAAGGTTGTAAGTGTGAAAAATGGTCGTACGTCACTTTCTTCAGTGCCGTTGTGACTTTGAACGGTCACTACACGAACTGTTGTAAGTCAAGGTCTACCTGTGCACATCTCAGCAATTGAATATTTTTCCAAAGTCTTCATGGCTGCTCTACAAGTGCTAGTCTCCAGCGTATTTCTTGACTGCTTTTTACTTCACTGTTGATGGTTGATCCTAAAAGGAAGATGCTGCCCGCCATTTCAATATCATCATTGACAATTCTTAGGCTGACTTACATAGTTGAACTCTCACATTTTATTATCTCCCCACAAAAGAAGTGAAACACTGAGCATCTCAAGATTGGTCTGAAAGAAATATTCTAATGCAATCCGAGCTTTGCTGAATTAATAGCCTTATCAAAAGTACAGATTAGTTATAATTAATGATTGTAATTGCCAGGGTTATAAAGAACCAGGATGATTCATTCTATAAATGGATAGTTACACATTTAATACAAAGAAGTTCCTAGGAGTTAATGGGAGAATGCTGAAAAACAGTGGAGTAAATTCTGTTAAGTTATAGGAAAAGGAAGAATTCTGATTTTAGAATCTTATTTCATCTTTTTTTTCCAGCTAAGCCCTTGATCAGTTGACAGATACCTGTTAAAGAGTGGCTTATGCACTTCACTAAGATACTCTGGAATTATTTCTTAGATCCCAGTCCAAATCTCTTTCAAATATTGGATTTTTGCCTGGTTAATATATGAGATTAAGGGCTTTATTACAAGCCTTTCAGACAGTAAAAGACAGGAAATACTGTCTCCAGAAATAGTCCTTTTTCTCATTAGTGGAGCAAAACAGTAGTTTAAACTTTCCTGACAAGTGGAAGAATCTGTTTAAGACACTATCTCTCAAAGCAGTGGTGACCAATCAATCGACT